CAAATAAACAAATATATTGGGTGACACACAGAATAACGAGCATAAGTTCCAAAAGACGCTAGTAAGGTCAAGACCACACGACCTAACTTACGCGAGAAGATCCCGACACGCAGGCGCACCACACTATAGTCACTTCTACCACCACAATATCACATCAACACGTAGCGGTCACAAAGTTTTAAAGAGATTTATGGCAAAATACGAGTATTTCATTTCCACTTAGTACAATTTTAATTTTTATGTTTTAAATTTAGTCTTTATTTTTTTTTATTTTATTATCTAAGTATTTTAAAATTTTAACGGAAAGATTCAATTTATGCTTTTAAAACACTCAAGAGCACAATAAGGATCCTTATTGACGAATTAGATGTAAATAGTTAGATGCAATTCAACAATTGAGACTGGTATCATTGTACACATCGTCAGGATGGCCCAGTATAAGGGTCGAAACATGTATCGTCAATAAAAACAAAGGTTGATACGATAGTGTCTACTTTGTTTTAAATACAGAATATTGTTGTGTAGACTGCATACTTTTGTATACATTTTATGTACCTTGTTTATGACACACAACAGGATACATACCTTTGACGTGTGTGATCCAACTGGAGTACAGTAATATTCAAAATATTAAATTAACATCAAAAACATATGTTTACGTACTAACGAAATGCTATAAAAGAAAGTGTCTATGTGGGATATGAGGTCCTCACAGAGTTGGTTATGAAGATATAATGATATGAAGTTCGTTGAAAACTAATCGAAGTTTCGGAGGAGCATATCCCCTCTATTTTGAGGGTGGATGGAATTTGTATTATCCTCCGAAATGTCAGTTGGTTTTCAATTAATTACACAGCATTATGTCCCAGAAAATAAAAAAATCTTCAAAACGTTCCCATTTTAAGATATATGTGATGAATATAGCAAGCAGATCAAGAAATACCCAAAAAATAATCCTCGACGTTATCTTTGTACATTTTAAAATTTAGGACTATTAAGATTTCTATATATCAAACTATAAAATGATCATAATGTGCCACAAAAACGCTTTCTTATACTAAATTTAAAATGGTTCACTTCTTACACTTTAATTATGTGAATCATATTGTTTATATGTAATTAATATATAGAAATCCATCTATACAACTTTATAACCAACTTCTGCATTGATGCACATTTATACCTGAATCATTTCTTTCAGCTATGATACCCAACTATTCGAAATTACGGCATAATATTTGCATTTATTTAAGAAGTACGTTAATAAACGTTACGTTATGTATCACAGCATAAATTTTAAAGACACTAGGCCTCCACTGTTTTGTGCTGATGCTTTTTAATAACTCACAAGTTAGTGTGGCCACCAGCTCGGATTCATCGGATAGTACGTGGCAGAAATAAATCTATGGTTACTACTGAAACTGATCTGTGTCTATAGCATGATATTCATTGCAATTTTTGCAAATATCCACCAAAACACAAATTTCCTAATCCGTGACTGATTCACGAAACAACGCAAAGAATAAGCTAAATATGCTGGAATATACCTTTAAAACTTCTTAATAAAAACTTCTGCATTTCCCTTTCCTCTGCTTTCTTTACAGAGCATGTTTCTTGAATTTCTTTCTTTTTAACATAGTTACGAATCAGTCGTTGGAAGGTCATTTTCTACCCAATATTTTTCTTTTTCATTCCATGCAACCAGCAGCACACATGAAGCTCAGTGCCAGATTTCTATGTTATATGCAGGTCAGAAGTAGCAAACTAATATTTGTTAAAATTCAGGCAAATTTACACATACTCTATTCTTTCAAATTATAATTTTCTTTGCCCTCAACGCATTCATTTATTCATCAGTAATCTGTCAAGACGACAGGTCCACAGTCTCTTCCAAAACAGTTCCTCCACTTGATGCGATCTAGAGCTTTCTCCTTCAAATGAAATATCTCGCATACATGGTATCTCTGGTTTTGGAAAGAGACTATCCAGGAAAAGTGATAATGTGGTAGTTTTTCCATTTGCTTTCCACATCGCAGTACAACAGCCGTTCAAACCACTCTGGTCACGCNAATGAAACTTGTCTTTCCCGGAATCACATGCTAGGACAAAGCAATCTTTTCGTCTCAGTCAATTATATAATATGCAGGTCACTTAATATTCCGAATAATTTAAAGAGTAACTAATAATGTGCTTCATGCGTAACCTCCGTATTAATATTACATAATGATATTCTTGTGCAGGAAAATAGGACTGGCCTTTAAAATATATACTGAAATTCTATGGGGTCACGCGGTAGCGTAGTTCGTTGAGGGGCTATGCTATAAGCCGGAAGGTCGCGGGTTCAAGTCCCGATTAGGTCATTGGATATTTTTCAGTTGACCTAATCTTTCCAGCCGCACTAGGCCCTGGGGTTTACTCAGCCTCCAACAGAAATGAGTACCAGGAATTAATTAAATAAATTTCCTGGGGAGTAAAGCGCGGCCGGCGCTTAAGGCTGAAAACCTTACCGCCATCTTTGAGCCGATTTTCTAGATAATGTGGGACCCTCAACGTCTCACAACCCTATGGGCCTTCACGGCCTGGTACAGGGATAGCTTTACTTTACATTACTTTGCTGACATTCTGTATACGAAATACAATGCCGATCACAAAAGAGCTATTACACACTATGCCGAACTCATATGATCTGTTGTTCGAAAAATTCATTAAATGATACAGACCTACTGAATAACAAATTGAATCTCTACATTTTAGTCACAGAGAAATGATGGAAATGAGGCCAGAGTTTTATTCGTCGCATGTGAGAACTTTAAGATATTGCACAAAGATGAACGAAGCCGAAATGTCTCAGTTGGTATAGTGATTGGTTAGGCTTTGGACTACCTGGGTTCTATTTCCGGCAATGAAATAAATTTTTCTCTACCCCAGAGCGTCCGTACCGCCTCTGGGGCCCACCCAGCGTCATAACCAATGGATACCCGTGACTCTTTCTTCGGAGGGAAAACGGCAGGTTCGTGAAGCTGACCACCCACCTCAATCCAATGCTGTCGTCAAGAATAATGGAGCTAAACCTCCGCTCCCCCATACTTGTTAATAATTTAGAGCTTAATTGCTTAATAAACAAATCATAAGGGAAATTTTACCTTTTTAGCTTTCACAAGAGGATGTACTTTGTGATTTATACGGATCACCTATTACTGTTAAGATATTAGAATGTACTCAAACGAGGCCATAATGGTCTAGGCATGTAGATAGTGTGATAAGTGTAATGCTTGGTGGGGATATCTCTGTAGAATAGCCACTTTGAAGAACGAGGAGATATGAGGATAACATTAATATTGAACTTAGCAAAATAAGCTGTAAGAATGGAAGAAGATTTTAGAGTTCATGTTAATACGTAATGACGGGCTATGATATCAGCAGTGTTTAACCTACGAATTCTGCCATTAATGTGTTACTAAGATTGCTATATGAATATATAGCTCTTGTGGAAAAGTATACCGTATGATTATGCTTTCTTTGAATGCACGACATAAAGTCAGAATATTCAAGGTTTTTTAAAAACCGGAAGATCTCTTCACACATTAATTCGACATACCTGAACTTTTGTATTTACTATAACATTTATGTTGGTGAGGCCTCAAAAGTTTGCAGTAGAAAACTGGCAGAATTTTTAATAAAGCGAAATAGAATTCACTATTACTTGTAGATTATTAAGTAGTCAAGACGAAACCAGAATATGAAGTAGGCCTATATAATAAAATAACAAATATATCAGGCCAAATAACTAAAAATTATAATTAAAATTTAACATTTATTATAAAAACCGAATATAAGCAGAATTAGAAAATGAAGGTATGGAGAGTAAATGAATAAAAACAACATAGAAAATACTAATTTAAGAATATTGAAATACGTAGTAATACTGAATCCTATGAGACAATGTCAAAACGTGCTCAAAGTATAGCTCAGATTTCTGGACAAAATCAGGGTACTACAGAAGCTCGAAGCCGCTAAACTGTATTTTCTGGGACCAGTCGTGGGAAGGTGTATACAGGTATTTCGAAACTTAAAAAGTAATAACGGCTATTAACATGAATTATAGATTAATTATATTAGTAAAATAATATTTCAGCTACGAGAATACATTTTATAACTAAATGGATAAAAATAAATTGCATTCTAAACAAATTAAATTATGGGCCACGAGAGAAGTGAATATTCGAAGGCCAAAGGGTGAATATCCGAAGTAGATTTTAATGGGGCCCAAGCAGACCATTATGCCTAATGCTTGATTTTTATGGTGATAACTGTTTAATCTTTTCATTCTTAAGAGAAAATACGACAAATATAGAAACACTGCTGCACGGGAAGACAAGACCGATACCTTGAAAGTTTGTTAATTTGATACAAGAGTGAAAACTAAAGTACTAACCAAGTAACTAACTTAATGAACCAACCAACCAACTTCATGTGGCTGAGTATTTCTTCAGAGTCCATAAGAATTTTGTGAGTAACAGAAAGATGTTGCCACTTGTCAACCTTATCAGAACGCTCAATCTGTAGCAGCTTCCAAGGACGCAAAAGAACATAGTGCACAACATGATTCAAAACTGGAGCATCTTGTTCATGACGCAATTAGCATGAAGCCAAAGAAAACAAATGGCCCTTCAAGCCGGTATGTGTAATAGCATGATCAGTATATGGCAAACAGCCATATACTGGGGAATACTGTTTGCAGCAATAGAAACCCAAGAATCATCACCACTCCATCCATGGTGATGAAACTAGGGAGTGTTAGGAGTGATGATATGGAACTAACCGACAGTAGGCCCATTAGAGTTTGGCATTGCAAAGTAATCCAGTTTTAATGTCTGATCTTGTTTTCGTTGTTTTGCTTTGCTCTTGCAATTCTCCCCGCCAGCAGGGTCATTCGCAAGTGGACTACTTGTATATAAATGCCCATCACATCTTCAGTATTACAGCAGTCCCCAATTAGCTTTCACAGTCAACGCTTTAGATCACAGCATGGCTAAGGTAAGATGGCGACTTGCTTCTCATGCTAAAGAAGCGACGGGACATGGGTACAATCTATACTTGCAAAAAACTGCTAACTTCATCTTAATGCGTAATTTATAATAAGATATCTAGTTACTCCTTTAGAAGTAAAACGATGCTCTTACTTTCTCACTGCTAACTGAATAACTGAACTCTGCTCATAGGTTATTTTCTTGCGCTCAGAAAGTAATTGGTTGCATTCGGTTGTCGAATGGAAATATTTCCATAGCACAATTATTATGTTTCTGGACATTATCCATTGTCCTGTTAATATTTCAAGACAAGACATTTGCGAAATTGTATTCTGTCTTCAGGTAAAATTTATTCAGTTGGGCCCTATCCATAGAGCTAGTCTCTATCTCCTGACAAGCGATTGGGCCCAACTGATTAGGTTTTACCTGAAGACAGACACAGAACCCACTCTCCGAAATGTTGTGTCTTGAAATATAAACAGGACAGTACTTTAAATAAAAATAGGACTATGAATAATGTCAAGAAGCATAATATTTTTACCAATGTACCATCGTCACAAACTTCTAGATCTTGCCCACCTATATTGTTGTAAGACTAATACACATTACTCGCTATTTGCTTATTTTACTGTCCACAAACACGCATTATATTATTTGACCTTTATACTTGGATAAAACTGCCTTTGGACACTTCGGTTGGCTAAAATTTTAATGGAATAAGTGATTATACTTACAAGCTTACAGACTCTTCTAAACAAATGTAAATTGCATTGAATATAAATAAGGGCATTCTTGCATTGAAACTTTCTGATACTCTCATAAGATATGTATTTTGCGTTACAGCAGAGACTATTCCTGAGCAGTTCTTTTTAATATTATAGAGGTCTGGACTTTGAAGCTCCTCTATTTGTAAAAGAGAAATATTCATTTAGTCTAAAAATTCATTACTTTTTCCTGTGTGCATTTGGGAGGAACTCGATTCGTATACCGAACAGGTACCGGCTAGCAAGACAGGTCTTTTATTATTTTGTAAATCCTTCCTCATTAATACAATTTGCTTTCAAGTAGGGCCAAATTTTTCATTCGCCACACTGTCCAAATCTGCCTTTCGTAATAATTTCTGCATCACATTAGACGCTAGTTAGACGCTTTGAAAAGAGATTGTGGTTACACAACCTATGTACTGTTGACTAATTCTAAACAAATTCAGTGTTATTCAATGAACAGAAGTCCAGAGGCTTCGCATTATATTCAGATTATTAATATCTACAGCCATGGAAATCCCTAGTATGAAAAGCGTGAGTGGCACATTGAAAGAAAATGTTGAATTTCTATTTTCGGCCTAAAATGAAACATAGAGCTTCCTTCAGAACATTCCCGCTATTACGTTACCGTCATCAGGCCCATCTGTAGTCTACTTACGTTAATTCTATTCCGAGGTTTAGGCTGTAAGTAAGTGGTCAGACACTTTAAGGAAATTATTCTCGGGCCAAGAAGAAATTTTCTACCTTCAAGCCGTCAATTCATGCTAAATTCTGTCCCAAAACATTATTCCTTATTGCAACTGCTATATAAGAGTAATCAGAGAAATTTGACCTGGCTGATGTTTTTGCCTAGTCTAGTATAATGGTTTTACGCTTGCGTATTAAGTACGTGTACCTCAAGATATAGCATAGATTATAGATTTCTTCCAGTTGTGTATATAATATGTATCTTATGTTATAGCCGTCAACACAAGAAATAAAACAGGTAAGATATATACCAACGCCTGTTGTCTTCATTGAAGATATTCCCGTTTTATTTGTTGTACTGTCGGCTATAACATAGGATCAATTTAATATATCCTCTATTCAGATATAGTGATAAACTCCGTGGCTTTAGTCCAAAAGCGAACCACACTGACCGAGCGACCGCCGCTTGTCGGCGAAGTTAGTGCCACCTTTAGAGGATAGAGAGTGTCGCGTGGTCAGGCAACAAATCCCCATGGCTGTTAATTTTCGGTTTTCTAGACCGAAACCGCTACTTTCCATTCAAGTAGCTCCTCAATTATCCTTACGATGCTGAGTAACCTCGTTCCAGACCCACTACTTCTCAGAAAATCTGGTAGCGCCAGAATCGAATCCGGGACCTCTGGATTTGTAGTCAGGAACTCCGGCCACTAGACCACAGAGGCGGTCCCAGATATAGTAATAACTGAACACAAATCAATCTTAATTAAATTTCAATATACTTTCTGCATGAACTTCTAGCTATTCTTACATTCATATCCAACGGATTTCACAAATCACTCTTCAAAAATAGAAACAAATAATTTCCGATAGAATTTGAAAAGGTGTATTAAGGGATACACAGTGGCCGCGCTGTCTAAGGCATGAACTTTCTTCGTTCTCTCGATCGTGGGTTCGAATCCCGATCAAGGCATGGATGCCTGTGTGTGTTTATTCCGTGTTTGTGTTGTTGTATGTAGGTAGCGGCCTTGCGACTGATTGATACACTTTCCAACGAGTCCTACCGACTATGTATAGGAACAAGAAATGGAAAACGTGACCAAGGCCCAACAAGAGGCTGTAGAGACATAGGTAGCTTAGGTAGGTAGGTTAGACAGATAGATAGATAGATAGATAGATAGGAGGTGATGGTGGACAATATGGATGTTACATCAATGTAACCCACGCTGTACTCCAGCTTCTATGCAAACTATAGTAAAATCACATCGTATCCACTAGACAGTAAATTACTGAACATCCATGACATCAAGCAAGTTACCTCAGCGGTAAGGAATTCAAACAATATTGAAGCAGCAGCTCATTCTATTATCGGTCGGGATACCTGATGTTATGACGAAGTTTCTTTCGTGGTACCCACGTGGATGCGGAGATTGCAGCATGAAATAGGCCTGTATCCAATGTGGAAGTTACAGTGAGTCGATAATTAGAGAAAATGGTGATGGAAGCAGCCGTGACTTATTTCACGATACTATGGTTGAATTATGATATAAACAGATTAAAATAACGATAAATCCAGTCGGATTCTAGGCGACATTCGAAAGGGATTCTCTTGAATACATGCCAAAAATTGTCGTCATTAAAAGGAAACCTGTGCCTTGAAAACTAGAGGAAGGGTAATGCTACTTCATCAGATTGGACATTCGGTTGTGTGGCGGTTCAGACAATTGTTAGGAGAAAGCCGACCCTGTTAACTCTCCGCCAGAAGTGACAAAACAATGCATAACAACAACTGCACCTTGGTTTTAAGACTATATTACAAAATACCCACAATGACATTTTCACTGTTAGTTACATAACTAGAGATGTCAAATTTTCTTTCAGCTGTTAATAGTCGCCGCCATGGCGCTAACATGCGTCATTGCTGAACCTCCCATTCCGAGACAGGGTGGCTATGCCAGCCAACCATCTAGCCGGTATGGGGCCCCAGAAGCTTCAGGTCGATTTGGAGGGCCCAACATCCCCTCCACTCAATATGGCGTTCCCGGATCGCTCTCAACACAATATGCTACTACCGCTGGTTCAAGCCGATCTGGCAATGGCGCTTCTAGTAGATTTGGTGGCACCAATTCTCCATCAAACCAGTATGGAGTCCCCGGGGCTTCCAGCCGTTTCGGTGCAGGCAATTCTCTGTCGACTCAGTACGGCGCTCCTAGTGTTTCAAGCCGATTTGGAAGCCCCAGTTCTCTACCAGTTTCTGGCCGATTTGGTGGCGCTAGCTCCCTGTCGTCTCAATATGGTGCTCCTGGTGCCTCAAGCCGATTTGGGGGTACCAGTTCTCTGTCAACGCAGTATGGTGCTCCCTCAGGTTCCAGCCGATTCAATGCGCCAAGCTCACAGTACGCCCCTGGAGTTGGATACGCTGCTTCAAGAGGAGGATATAGTGCCCAGGAAGACGATCTTGCTGTAAGTACATGACCCACATTCTGATACCCCTCAGCAGCCCGTTATTCAATTATCCAGTTGGTTCTTTTCTCTTGAATGCTCAAACTACATGAGGGCACACGGTAGCGTAGTTGGTTGAGGCACTACGCTACGAGCCAGAAAGTTGCGCGTTGGAGTAGATATTTTCAATTTGTCTAATCATTCCAGCCGCACTATGGCCCTGGATTCGACTCAGCCTCTAACACAAATGAGTACCAAGAATCTTCCTAGGGGGTAAAGGGCGGCCGGAGGGTAAGGCTGATAACCTTGCCCTATCTGTGAGCCGATTTTCTAGAAAATGTGGGACCTTCAACGTCTCACAAACTTACGGGGGCCTCCATGGCCTGTTATAGGGATAGCTTTACCTTTACCTTTTACTTGTACTCGAACTACATTCCAAAAGAACGTAATATTTATTGCTAACTTTAACTGTCTGCAAGGAAACGCAAAAGATCTCACAACATTTGGAAGTTTGGAGTTCTTTTCGGTCATATTTCAGGCTTACTGAAACAAGGGGCCTCTGAAAAATACTGAGTTCCAAATTTTTATAGCAGAATAACTGTTGTACATTTCATTTGAAACTAAACTAAAGGAGATGAAAATGTGGTCTAAAATTTAAATTAATATCCGGCATTACACTTACGAGAAATGTGATATCATTGCAATTTTCCAGATATAACAATTCTCTCCTATTGCTAAAATAATAAATTAAAAGCATGAATGCATTACTAAAGTGATGCAGGATATATGCAGTGTATTTCGTATTACATATTTAGAGGTATCTGTTTATCAACGTCCATTAACAGTCGCTTAGAAGTCAGAGTTTAATATAGAACTTTGCCTCACAGGAGCCAGCTAACTACCAGTACTCTTACGAAGTTCAGGACCCCGAGTCCGGAGCCGAATTTAGTCAAGAGGAAAGTCGCCAGGACGAAAATGCTCAAGGCTCCTACCGGGTCCTCCTGCCCGACGGCCGGCTGCAGATCGTGGAATACGAGGCTGACCAGGAAGGATATAGACCACAGATCCGCTACGAGGACACTGGTGCCGGATACTCCAGCGGACCTCAGCAGAGGGGACAAGGAGGACCATATTAAAACAAGGAAAAAACGGGTTTTTTCTTATAGAGATTCAGAGATTTATATGTACTTTATGATAAACAGAATGTAATTGAACACGCTTTTATATAATTTGTACATATATATATATCAATTGTACACTTTCTGTAATAAATTATTTTATATAAAATGATGTTCTGGTTTACAAAATAATTTAGATTCTCCTGTTCAAAAGAGCAAGCATCATCTTGGATCTTCCTTTTCGCCTGTCCCAGTAAAGCGATCGAGAGACCGCGTCATAGCTCAAGCTGTTAATTGCTCCCTTCCCACAGCGGAGACCCGGGTTCGATCCCGGGTCTGGTCAAGTGGGATTTGTGGTGGACAAAGTGGTGCTGGGGCGGGTTTTTTCTGAGTACTTCGGTTTCCCTTGTCAATTTTTATTCCACCAAATTCACCATCATCATAATCACCCAGGCCAGGTACAATAGCCCAAACAGTGGCCGACGAGCCGAGTGGACCCAGCTGGACTCCACCCCCCACTCCCACTAAGCGAAGGAAAAAAAGCGATTGAGTCCAAGCCATAGACGCTTATCAGACTCCTCTAATTAGAAATTTGTAATTAGTAGAGTATTATCCATTATCACATCAAACGTGAAGAACATTTTGTTCCAAACGTGTACACGAATAACAGAATTGTACAGTGTTATGAGGTATATCTGAATTACAGAATTATATAAATTTTCTTTCTATCTTGGAAATACGTATGAACCCTGCAGATATATCGTAAGATAGAACAGGTACATCTAATGCGTACTACAATAAATGGCTCCGAAAATAGTCTCATACCAAAGATCGTGGAGCGTAGTTCTGTTAGCCTATTTGTTTCTAACGTAGTGGCAATGAATTGAAAAAAACAAAAAATATATATATAAGAATATATATGTAATGTACGCCTTACTACAGGTAATTTTTCTAAAATGTGTCGATATAATAATGAAAAGTTTTTTAGACTGAATCAAAATTCAACATCACGAGAAAGACGTCTGGAGTGTTGTGAGGTATCTTCACGGATGTGAAGTCCCTCAATGTTGATATTGCCACATGTAGGGGCTTTGTGCTTGACTTACAAGACGGATTTTGGATTGGATGATCGAATTTATTGACACTTTATTCGCACAACTCGGGACTACAGAAAATACAGCGCTATTGCTAATTTACAAACTTTACAGTTCACCATTGCACATGCAATATGTATCTCAGTCTACACTAGTCGTATCCTGGTAACGGTTTTCATAACAGTCTCAAGGCCACTTCAAATCACACATGTTGTCTTCTTTTCACAGCCTGATTCCTTTGATGTCCTTATTCTGCAACTGTCAATTCCGAAGACTAGACTCAATTAAAATCCTCTGCTCCCAAGCTCATGTCCTGGCAGGCTGGTGTCCCGAAACTCAACTCTTCACTTCCAGACTAATGTTCTGCGCTGCACTATGCTGTCTAACACTTCTTTAAAACCACTTTGCACAAACCACGCAAAAAACACAGCTTCTATTGTTAAGGAGGCGTGTTTACTAATCCTTTGCCTAGCAATGGACCTCCTATTGTTGGACGACTTAGCTCCCACGGGAATGTGTTTACTGAGTCGTTGCCTAGCAATGGGTATTCAGATCACAATATATAGCTTTGAAATCTCAAGTTATCAGCTATTGTATAAAGAAGATAGGAATGATATGCGTCATTAGATTACACATGTTCTTCAAAAGTTTATCCTTCTTCCTTGCTCCTTCCTTTTATCATTATCCTCCCATCTATGCTTTATCTCCGAAGTGGCTTCTTCCCTTCAGATTGTAAAGCCAAATATTATTTTGCGAATAATATACAGCTCAACAACATGAAGATTTGTTCAGCTGTTATTACTTTCTCCCTCATTAGCCCAAATATTCTCCTCAGCACCCATTCTCAAAAACACTTCATCTATGTTCGTCCCCTATTGTGACAGACCAGATTTCATACCCCCACATAGGCCTATATATGTATGCAATTTGGACAAACATAAATCGTAAATCCTCAATTATTGTATTTTGTATAGGGATGATTTCACATATATGTACATATACATAGATAGATATACAGATGGACATAGGCGTGTGATGTATAAGAACTGCCAACATGAGAAATAAAATTGACTCGTCATTACGATTTATATTATTTTTGGAAATTTAATTAATTTTTAAATAATGACAGTATGCGACATTGCTATTTGTTACTTTTGTCAAAATTTTACCTTAAAACCATGCAGGTCAAATAACACTTGTAGGTGGCTACACAAAGATAAATTGAGACACTCATGAAAAATGTCGGCTTCTGGGATATGACGCCGTGTAGATCTTGTATAAACCGACGTTTCGGAGGAGCGTATCGCCTCCATCTTCAGGGTAGAAGAAAAAATAAAAAATCCGTGAGGGAGGAACCAGCGTGAGCAGGTGACGCCTCATCCCAGAAGACGGCACTCTTCATAGTCCCCCCGTGAAAACCTCATATCTTACAATGAAACGCTCATGTTACGGTGGATGAACAAAATGTCCGATGAGACCATGCGCAGGCGCTCATTTCATGTGAAACTTATTTCTATATACATATGTTAATTAGTTTATATTGATATAATTAATGTACATAACCCCATTCATATGCAGATGTAACACGTATCAATTTTTACTGTAATACAGGATATATCTGATTGCAACAATTAGTAGGTTTTAGCAGTTCAACGCGGCTACTAGCCGTTTGTAACCTGAGGAGGGAGCTGTTGCTCTGAGAAATCGCCCAAGCCAAGCTGACCAAGCAGCTAGGACGGTCAGAGCTCGTTGCATGGTTAAAGTATTTTAACTATTCGATAATTAAATTTCATTGGCAAAAATAATTATACTTGTAAACCCCAAAGTTTAAAGAGAGCCAATCCAGCAATTTTAAGCGAAGCAACATCGTTTGAAAGTAACGGTTTGCAGAAGCTGGTTACATCGGACNCCGTATGTGGGAGTGGATGTACAGCTCCACATTTTCCTGACCTCGGCACTAGCGCCCTGTCGCTTTACCTTCAGGGAAATAGCCCCCCCGAGACCCATTGAATAGGAGGTTGGGTGGGCTCCAGGGCCGGTCTGGACGACACGACCGGAACTCAAACTCCGACCAAGCACGTAGCCAGCCTCTGTACCGACTACGCTATCCCGGCTCTTGTTTATATGTATATTTTACTGCTAATAATTCAACTACTAAGTTATTTCACAAGTACGTGTATAACAGAAATTAACTGTGATGTAAATTACTAAGAATACTGAGAGTGATATTAAAGTGGATTCTTACATTGTTAGTTCTCCCAGCCGTGTTATATGGAGTACAATAAACTAATTACTGTTCCTTCTCCATGGTATGTAAGTTATAATTAACCCAGTCCTCTAACCCTGTCTGGTGAATATCCGTTAAGCCTTGAGCGCGAACCTCTTCTCCACCCATTCTGACTACCGGCGAAAACATTCACTCCTACTTGTGACACAATCTTCGTAAGCGAATAACGGCTTACCAGCGCCCATATGGACTCCTGCTTAGGATGGGCAGTAATGTGAGGTAATTCCTACGATGTCCGGAGTAGTAGGGGTGCGAGCCTCAGCAACAGCATAGGTCACGACATGAACTGCACTATGTAAGTTAAGTTACAAAGTGCCCCGACGCGTGGTTACAACAATGACGAAGAAGAGCGGGGCAGTTACAAATCGGCTACATGTAAGGAGAAGCAGCGGTCGGTTACACATGTTCAAGGAATAGCTTCACAAATGTTATTTTCATTCAAGCATATGATTATGAAGTAGCATGGTCATTACTTTTGAGGAAGAACTTTAAATCATTGATGTCGCTGTCAATGTAACTACCAACATCTTCTCTTCTGACATGAAATTACCGGTTTGTATGAACACACCTCGACCACTTTTGTCTTAGAACTGCTTTAGCGAACAGGTGGCTAAGTACTTACATGCTGCATAAATATTTTTAAAACAAACTTTCAAAAGACAAGTGAGCATATATCTCCGTGATTGACTGGGTACAGGTATATGCTATATAGAGGACATTAATAGACGCTAACAGTTGGTCTCCTGGTCTCTTTCTAGCAACCAAATGCATAAATTTACAACACAATTATACATAAAAATTTGCAAGGCAATACCATATTCATATTTCATTTCCGAAACTTTTACCTCTAACGCTGCTTCCGTATATTTTAAGCAAAAGCGTTTCCTCTTACCACTCTGATTTTTATGTTCCTATTCTCTGCCATCTCCACTATAATTCTGTAACTACCTAAGTGCCCTAATTCGTTCCTAACGTAAATTCTACACTTTGCCTTAAGCCTGGAATATATAAGTATTTTTATGTACTGTTCTTTTTTCACCGCCCCATATATGACATTCTCTTTTTTCAACTTGTCCTCTTCGACATCAACTACAAGTACTAATTCCATGCCTAAATCTTTATAAAAGTACTAACTACTTTTCAGGAGCTTAACAAATTTTCCCACTGTTTTCGGACCCGAAGATTCATCAGGCCTTATCCTGAGCCACATAAATAGGTAAGTAGGAGCCTAACAAATAAATATGTACGTAGCATGATTAATACATCAACACATACAATAATTAATAGTGCCCTTTAATATTATTATCCTATTTACGCCATGGTATATCTCCACGAATAGTTAGTGAATTATACGTTTCGTATTTGCATATACATTATATTGCATACACATATCATATGAACTTATAATTAATTAGAATGTAAGTTTACAGATACAAAGAACATAACTCAATAAATATCTTCTCAAAATTTCAGCCATCAAAACATATTAAGCAAAAAATATTCTAAATTTAAATTTCAAGATGAAGGAAAAATAATGGGGAGAATAAAATAATATTTATATGTAATGTATTATTTATTACATTTATAAATTCATTAAATACATGCAAATACTTACCTTTGCAATTTATATATATAAAAAAATATTATATACATTACACCCAACAAAACACGTCATAATCACCCAAAGCAAGCATACTATAAAATAATTATACACTTTTTATAAAATTATGTACAAAGTAGATAACCTTCAATAAACATGTATTAGCAACATAATCGCCGGATCAATCCGCGAGAGAAGACTATGTTATAATAGCATCCCTCCATCCGCTTATGTGTACATCACAGTTAACTGTCTTGAAACAACCTTCTTGTTTATTCACTGCAAAGGGAAGTCAGAAGAGTAAGATTTGTGTGGTTCACTTTGATGTTGGGTGAATCACGCGGATTGATTTTACACATTTTACGTGTTATATTGAAGACACAACAAGCCATCACTATATATTATGGAATTTAGATTCTACGAAACTAGAGATGTATATAAACCTGTGCAGATAACTATTATAGAACAGTATGTAGGCTGTAGAATTTGAAAGGGAGTAAGTCATTCGTCTGGTACGCCAACACAGTGAACATAAATACAGCTGGTTTCAGTGCACACTTCATAATCAAGTCCTATAACATAAGCCAGTCGTTTCCATTTATTCAGCGTCAGTTTCTATTTCCAGAGACATGTTAGGGCCTCAGATTTCTCTGTCACTGCAATTAGTAGGGTCCTCCTGCTCCTCGGGACGTTTGGTAGGCTTCGGCTCCAGTTTCTTCATAACGGATCTGTGGCTTGTATCCCTCGAAATCAGCCTGATACTCCACGATCTGACGGCGACCATCTGGAAGCAGCACGTGGTACGAGCCCCTTGCGTCCTCATCCTGACGGTTCTCCTCGTGACCGAACTCGCTGCCCGACTCAAGATCGTCTACTTCGTAAGAAAATTCGTAGTTGGCTGGTTCCTATAGCGACAATTTAGTTCTTTGTTAGAGAGCGCTTTCTGTAATTGGGGACCTCAAGGTTATGTAAAAGGAAAAGGTAAAAAAGTAAAGCTATCCCTGTAACAGGCTGTGAAGGCCCATAGGGTTGTCAGACGTCGAGGTTCCCACATTTCTCTAGACAATCGGCTCACAGATGGCAGTGAGGTCAACCATTAGCTCCGGCTGCCTTTTACCCCCAGGAAGACTCCTGGTACTCATTTCTGTTAGAGGCTGAGTCGACCTCAGGTCCATAGTGCGCCTGGAAGCATTAGGTCAATTGAAAAAATCAACCTCATCGGGGCTTGAACCCGCGACCTTCCCGCTGGTAGCATATTGCCTCAACCAACTACCCTACCGCGTGCTCCATTTATGTAAAATGAAGTAATTTGAAAAGTGTAATTTGACATTTTGTTTGCCGAGAATTATAACCTTCAGGCATATAAGGAAAAAATATATAATGCTGCCTCACACAACCTTGCACACGGGTATTATAAATATTATAAAATGTTTCAGTAATTTGTTGTAATTTATAACTATATATATATATACTGTATTTATGTATATGTGGACTGACAACAGCACAACATGAAGCTCAAATATAAAATTTCTTTGCCACTGAGGTCGGTTCAGAGAAAGCAGAGCATATGCAGTATGAAATGTTATTCGTTGGAACCATCGAATCCTTTTTATTCCATGGGCAATGGAGTTAGAGCTGTTTCAAGTGAAAGGTGGGGAACCCCCGCCTAATGATACTCTTCACTTCTGGAATGATCAAAATCATGAAGAAGAACATTTGCAGCAGTTGTTACTCAAAGACATCCATCCATTCTTAAACAGCTGTAACTGATAATCAGCATTCGCTTATGAAGAGTTCTACCGTCTGACATACAAGCCGTATAGTCAACTGATAGTAATCTGACGTTTCGGAGAAACCAGCTCTTGCTACCTGCTTCATGATCATTTTTCCTTGGCTTCTTCTTATACTCTGGAGATGGGAGAGAGGTTCCTCCGAAACATCGGTTGAATTTCAAAACGGACTACACTACATTATATCCCAGAAGGTAGAACACTTCATAACCACAGATGTGAGAAAACGAAACCCTCCATGCTCTTCCAGTACACTATCACGCTAAATTGGTTTAATTTAAACAAAACAAATAACAAAAGCGCAATGTATTTTGTGCTATCCTGTTTGGATAGGGCTTTTCGATTGGTCGATCCTCCGTCAAGCTTCTCTGCCATATATCTAGAAATAGTGCAAATACACTGTACATGGAGGCACGCGATAGCGTAGTTGGTTGAGGTACTATGCTACAAGCTGGAAAGTGGCGGATTCGATTCCCGATGAGGTTATTAGAGTCTTTTCAATTTACTTAATCCTTTCAGCAGCACTATGGCCTTGGGATCGACTCAGTCTCTAATGAGCACCAGGAATCTTCTTGGAGGTAAAGGCCGGCCAGCGCGTAAGGCTGACAAATTCACCGCCATCTGTGAGCCGACTGTCTAAAAAATGTGGGAACCTCGACGTCTTGCAACATTATGGGTCTTCACGGCCTGTTACAGGGATAGTTTTGTCTTTCTGTTTTACACTGTACATACCCTGCCACACAGGCTACACTTAACCGATGACAGCCTCCTCTAAAAATATTATTTGGAATAATTTAAATCGTCATTTTTGAGACTATTGGTGCTATAAATCGAAGAAATTTAATCATGTCGCTAGAGATATTTTTGGGAGAATGAATGTTTGGCGAATGAGCCCCGGCCTGGGGCTCATTGTTTAAATCCCGTTATGTTGAGGAAACTTTGGGCTACGAAATAATATTCCGGCCCAGTGCCTCTATATATAATTACAATTTTGTCAGTACTGGTCAAGTTGTGTTCGAGAATATTGACATGTCTCGTTTACGCTTCTAGAGAATGTACCGCTGTTTTCCCAAATATAAGGTCTATGTATTTTCATTTATGGAGATGATCTCCGTAAGTAACTGACATTTAATCAGAATTGTAAGAGCCTAATTTTGTTTCTTGCTATTTAGTAGAGGAGCCTCAGTTTGAAAATCTGGTATATTTATATTCAGCAGACATCGACCTGTGATGGATAAATCATTAAATACTGAATATGAATGAAAATTGTCCAGCCGTTCAGGAGCTAGGCATATCGACTAACATACAGATCACCATCCAAGATCAACCTTATCTTAGTCAAAGTATTAAAATGACGTAAACCCGATACATGCGTAAAAATCTCCCTAGGTATTACAGACAGAAATGCATTGTTTGTAAGCTAATCGGGCAAAAGGCGTCATATTGCAAAATGCTCGAAATCATTTACTTGCATGTCGTTAGGTCTATTTATTCATAAAAATGGGGGAAAAAATGTTTCAAATACAAGTTGATCTTAATGAGATCTCATATTCGCATTTATTATATAAATGTTTTCTTAAATTCATTGAGGTTTTACAAGAATTTTACGTAAAATGCATGCTACGTTGGTCTGATGTGAATTAAAATTAAATTATTCTGACAATTTCTTAATTGTTCTGCATTTTTTGATTCAGCAGAAATCTGTTCCACAGTTTTGAATTATTAAATGCGTACAGTCGGACCCTAATATATTTATGCATTCATTTCGTGTATGTCCCGCAAAAGATACATAGCAACTGATGTTTGAATCACAGCCCAAAAAGCGCGAGGAATGTGTAATTAACCGTCTCAGGTTGTCATTAACTGCTCTGTAAAGTTGGTCTCTACATAGCGACCCGTTACAGAACACTTAAATTTCCTACATTTTAAATTATTCTCACGCTAGAAATAGAAAATAACAGCACAGCCAACATGTAAAAATACCCTTACTTTATCATTATAACTGTAGTAAGAAACAGTATGGACTTCATATGGCGTGAATAGGACGATTCAGAAATGCAAATTCCATATAGGCAGAATAATACCTGTTTAGGATATTCACGGGCCGGACTTTATGTTTTACGCTCTATAGCAAGAGGATATTTATGCTTAACCGACTCTGAGCAGTATTTGTGGTGTCTTCGCGGCTATGTGGGAAGGCTGTAAGTTGTGCGTGGTTCAGAATGTAGGAAAGGCAGGCGCTGCGTTTCGGAATACGAAATACTTACAGAGAGAGCATCGTCCTCAGAACTGTAACCTCCACGACCATAGTTGTATCCGCCACTAGGGGCGTACTGTGACCTGGGACCACCAGCTCGGCCAAATCCAGGAGCACCATACTGCGTAGAGAGACCTCTAGGACCACCAACTCCCCCAAGATCAGAAGCACCATACTGTGTAGAGAGACCAGCAGCACCTCCAAGTCGGCCGGTAGAGGGAACACCATACCGTGCCGAAAGGCCTGGAGCTCCACCAAATCTTTCGGAGGCAGGAGCACCATATTGCGTCGAAAGACCTCCAGCTCCGCCAAATCGTCCGGAAGCAGGAGCACCATACTGTGCCGAAACACCTCCAGCTCCGCCAAATCGTCCGGAGGCAGGAGCACCATACTGTGTCGAAACACCTCCAGCTCCACCAAATCGTCCGGAGGCAGGAGCACCATACTGTGTCGAAAGACCTCCAGCTCCGCCAAATCGTCCGGAGGCAGGAGCACCATACTGTGTCGAAAGGCCTTCAGCTCCAGCAAATCGTCCGGAGGCAGGAGCACCATATCGTGTCGAAAGACCTCCAGCTCCACCAAATCGTCCGGAGACAGGAGCACCATATTGTGACGAAAGACTTCGAGCCCCTCCAAATCTGCCTGACGACGTTAGGCTAGAAGGCTGTTGGCCTGGAGGCAGATACAGGCGTCCCACTGGGGGCTCAGCAAAAGCGCTTGCTAGCGACGCAGCACAGAATATCAGTAGAATCTGGGGGCAAAATGAAACTTGCGTGTGTAAATGCAGCCGTAATGCGACTCTGTGTTTCTAAGCGGATTAGCCGAACCTCCGTATTCTGACCAAACTATAGTCGTACCGTGTTCTTGCGAAAAATAACCTCGAGATATCAATATTTTGAAGTGTGGACTATTGCGGATAAGAACGTGTTCACTTCCAGGAACAGTTTTCCCCAAACTAATACTCGTAATTAAGATATATTTAGTTTTCACCTTTATGTAAATAGTCGTGATGCTAATTGTTTTCTGAAGAGAAGGAATTTAAATCCAGTCATTTGAAAATATAATTCTAAAGATGACGTCTTACCCCACGATTTTTGAACAGAGAAAAATTAAAAACTACACAATGAGATACTTAATTTTAAGCAGTACTGTCTTCTGGGACGTAATACCATGTGGTCTGGTAAAACTGTACAAGTATTTAAGAGGAAATTACTGGCACCATCTCTACAGTTCGAAGGGTAAGCTCTGACTAACTGTTCTTGTACTTTGCTTGGCTTGTTCTTGTAATAATAAGCCTCATTCGAATGATTTTAATGACAGAATATATGAACATGTTGCAAGGTTTATGCTGACTCAGGATCGGAGCCTCTGAAGGCTTTTGCTTTCAGAGTTCACAGTACCAGATACAGAATAACGGAGAAACAAGTGTCCCACTAATTACGGAAGCCGAGTTCTTCTCCAGAAGTTGATGGTCACTCAACCACTTAAGAAATTACCAACCTCTTTTCAAGATGGGAGGTCTATTACCGCGTTCACAAGAATCCCCCACTGGACTTTATCCTCAGCCAGGTGATTTCAGTCCACACTTCCACATTCGACTTCTTTAATACAACTTCCAAATCTCATGTCCTCTTTTTGTTGTTCCAGTTGTGTCAAAAATCTGTAGGTCTATACATAGGAGGGCCTTTGTTATATTTCGTAATATGCTAGTTTTTTACAGCCAGAAGTTGTTACTACTCCGACCAGCACTCAAAATGGAGGATCAGCCATTGCTGCCTGCCTGCGACTGCTTACTCAGCTTATTAGCATGTAATTTTTATATTTGGAGATAGCCTTCTGCATTCCTAAACAGTACGCGAATCATGCCACAGTGGGCAGGGCCCCACTTCAGCTCAAACACCGTACCTATGCCACCTCCCGTCGAATGGCAAATTTTGATTTTGTAAGATAAATTGGAATGGTAGCAATCGTGATGTACGTTGAAGGGTTATAGCGCCATTTTCTGTAGGGACTCAGGGTATCGGAGCTGAGATTAGAAGCTGGGACCTTCCAGACTCAAGGATTCCTAAGTTCTATACTGAATATAAAAACAAGAAAGGAAATAAATCATAACGAACCCCTTTTCCAGGTAGTGGCAAATATTGCTGGTGTCACGACGTTGATTTAAGGCGATATGTTTATCAGTTACTGAGGTTACGTAGTTTTGAATTTGACACTGTAAGACTAAGGCGGGTAGTCGCCGGCTTCCAACCCCCGCGTCCCAAATTCAATCCAATTTCAGGTCATAGCTATTTTTCGTGGACTTTGGTACTGAAGCTGGTTTTCTCCACGTGATTCGATTTCACCCGCCTCCCCCACCAAATTTTCAGCCCACCAACTGATTCATATACATTATTCATCCCATAATCAACTCTATGTAATTTCGATACTTATAGCGTCGTTAAATATAGCACAAAAAAAAAGGTAAAATGGCTGTGCATGATTAAATTTAAGAAATGTGGGAGGAAGCACACAATATAAGATAATACGCCGAAATTTATATGGAGGCCTGAGACAAAGCGACCGGGAATCGAAGCTGTAAATTCAGTTCAGCTCCGTTACTGCCGAGAAGTTGGGATTATACGGAAACCTTCACACATCCAACATAGAGTATATGGACGTTAATCCTAGTTTTGCATTAGGTCTTCTCTTATACTCTGTTCTTCCTACGTACTTTCTCAACGTCTTTCACGACTTTCTGTACAGTGGATGATTAGATTAAATAATATCCCATTAGTAATAATCTAATCAGCGCATTGCCTATTTGATGAACATATCAAAAAGCATCGAGTAAAGGATGGCTCTGCAATTTTGAAGTCCGAATGCTTGTTAACTTACCATTGTCATGCCCTTGACGCATGCGCTGCCGACGGCTCTCTTCACTTAATAACGATGGCAGATGAAGAAGATTGTGATGCGATACGAAGAGGTAACCAATATTTATATACCAAAGCAGCCAGTTACGTGTGACCCTGCATGCATTGCAAATGCAGAAAGAAGTTGCTACCCATTGCATTGCAGTAGCTCCGAAAATGAAGGAGTGCACACAGGAATCATTACCACAGCGGTAGTGTCGTAATAATTATTGTTAGGATGGATGATGCTTATGGCAGCTACCCCTCCTTTACTCATTTGCCTCAAGGCCCATCCATATTACTTATTACTGATTAAAAGAATAGTTTCGTAACGTTATGATCTAGTTCTCACAGTGCAGGCCTGCAGCTAATATGGAGCACACTGAAATGTTCTGCCTCGTGGTGGGAGTGATGGACTTCTGCACCACCTCCACACGAACTCATTCTGTTTGCATGCTTGTTTTGTTCCACGGACGTAAACACATACGTGCTACGTCAGACTAGTTTGATAGCAGATGATGGAAAACGTATGTTTTCAATATTTACCTTTCATGCGGTAAGGAATTTTTTTTCTTTTCATAATGATTTAGAAATGGCTCATTATATTAATGCTAGTGCTTGCCTTCTCTGGCGCCTTAGCGATACGCCTGTATCTTAGTTGTGACAGGCGTCAGTTATGGAGAAGGCCGAAACCATGAAAACATAATTACCTACCATGATGGTGAAAACCGCAACCGAGTTTACTTAATTCCCATACTAGCAGAAACATTAGTCAATATATTACACGGGTGTTAATAAACTTTCGTTCTGAGGCACGTATAGATGAAATACAGCTGTTACTCCTGTTATTAACTGAACTGAAACAATCAAGTTTAAAATGTAATTTTGAAAGTGCCTGTTCGTTCTTTGCTGTATTTAATTTATATAGTAACAGAGGAAAAATATAATAGATTGTAATTGGCTAGCTAAGAATGCAAATATTTAATTCATTTTGTGCGGAGTATCATTTGCAGTAATTTTTTTTTTAAATCTCTTAGTGGGGGGGTGGAGTCAAGCTGGGTCCACTCGGCGCTGCGGCCAGTAATTGGACTATTGTACCTGCCCCAGGTGATTATGTTGATGGAAAATTTGGTGGAATGAAGATTGGCAAGGGAAACCGAAGTAAAACCAGCCCCAGCGTCACTTTGTCCACCACAAATCCCACTTGACCAGACCCGGGATCGAACCCGAGCCGCCGCGGTGGGAAGCCAGCGACTAACCGCTTGAGCTATGGCGCGGCCTGTCATTTGCAGTCTGACACAAAAATCTTGCCATATAAACGTCATGTACTTGATATATTTTAAAAACTGCGTATTTTAATCCACTTGCCAGTCCATTAGTAATTGTCCCTGTCATCTTTAAAGGAATTGAATATGACAGAATTAACCCGTTGTTGATGATTTAAAATTTCCATTTTACGAAAGAATACCTGTGTATGACTAAATTCGTGTTTAATCGTAATATATATTTTTGTCTCAACAGAGTTAATATATATACTATATATACTGAGACAGCACAATACAGGAAATGTAGTACACAAGTACAAGATACACAGGCCTATGTTGAAACTATACTGACTATTGATGTTAGTACTTAAGGGCATCTCCTTCTCAATACGTAAGTTCATTTAGAATGAAGGTCTACGGTCTGAAAAACGCAGAGAATTTCATAATGAGAAATCTTTCAGCTGCAACAGAAGGAACCTGAAACAGTGAGGTTTAGACATTTTTTTTTCCTCCTTGGCACTACAGCCCCAGTGGGCCTAGGCCTACCTCCATGAATTTCTCCGTTCACTTCGGTTTTTCTAGATCTTACACATTCGGTAGGACTCCTTGGGCGGGTGATCAGCTCGTCGCAAGGCCTCTACCTGTACATAAACACAGAAAGACGCACACACACAAACTAAACATCCATGCACTGAGTGGGATTCGAACCCACGATCCCGGTTTCCAAGCGAGCGAAGACAGTACATGCCTTAGACCGCTCGGCTACCGTGACCGGCAGTTTAGACATATATTAAGTATATTTGAAGGAAGCATAAGGGAAAGAAGAAAAGTGTACATAAGTGTGGAACAAAAACGCTATAAAAAGTCACTTACGAGATCAAAAGAAAGATAATATAACTGAATACTAAAATAGTCATTAATGAAGTACTTTCTATACTCGTGTATTGAGACATGAGGTATTCACGGCTGTGAAGATTAATATTGTAGTCTCCCTGGTTATGAACCAGAATAGTCTGGTTTGCGAGTGCCAACGTCCCGGAGGAATAAACTGCCTCCATTTTCAGGGTAAACTTCCACAAAACTAATTGTTGTGGTCCTATAGATTAGGAGAGTGCTCCTAACCCACAAGATTACAACACGAATTTATATACTGTGTTTCAATGCCCCATAATAGGGTCCAGATTCGGCTGAGCTGTTCACAGTAATATTCCGGGCACGTTTCCTAGTGTGAGCGGAACACGGACGGACGAGTCAGATAGTCAGCTTCTCAGTCGATCAATCCATCATTTATTTCGTTCGTTGAAGTCCTTAACGAAATGTTTCTCTCTATATAGTAAAATCGTAATGATGTTTGCGTGAGATTATGACAACATAAGAGCTGGCTGTAGGTGGTTCTAGATCATCCTGCAATGGACTACCAGCTACTGTGTCTTTCACGGGGGAAAAAAAAAAATAGAACAGCTTCTTGAAATCTGTATTTTGCCTCTTTCAGTAATATATGTTATGATGTTATGACTGGATTTCGAGTAAGCTGAGCTCCTAATAAAATGAAATAGGGCGCAGTTCATATAACAAGAACACGTCACAAGCTA